TTCTGGTTGTTTCTTATTTCTCTGTTTTGTTTTTAACCCTCTTACATCCTCTTGTTGTTCCTGAGTGCTGTCAAATAGGTTCCAACTTGTAGTCACTGTGTTTAGAGTTTCCAAACAGTGGTTGATGGGGTTGGACCACTGACCTGTGGTTAGCAGTATAGTGCTTATTCTATGGCACCACATCATAACTCCCTTGCATCTTTTAAGCCTAGTTAAAAATAATGAGACAACTTCATGTCAAAACTTATCATTGAAGCCTAATTTGTTTTCTCCTTTGCAATTCCTATACGATGCTACCATATGCTTTTGTTCATGGTTCTTTTTCCAACTAGCATATACTTACCTTTTGTTTCCATGTATCGAAATTCTTTCCTCTTCAGAATCCAGTTTAAGTGACTAGTTTGCTGTGAAGCTGACTCTTTACTTGTAGCTGTAAGTAACTGTTTCCACTCTCTCTGTGTTCTCCACTCCTTGCCCTGCCTCCATCACTTATGTACCTTTTTAAATGCTACTTTGAATTGTAATTATAAATATTTTAATATTATTATTACTTGGAGTTTATAGATTTATTCTCTTCAATGAAAGAGAATAGGCTTCATTTATTTTTATAACTCTCACAGTGTCTAATACAATCCTCTGCAGATGTCAATAAATATTTGTTGAAATATAAGTCTTTACCAGAAATTTGGGTTCCATTATATTTGAACTGATAGACTAATGGCACACTCCTGCGTATAAGCAGGCTATCTTTCTCTGCCTCTTTACTTTTTTTCTGAGGAAAACAAAATACAAACAAACATCACTTTATATTTTCATTCTCAGAGGATAGGCTTTGGAAGGACAAATGTTTTCTAATTAAACTATTATAGACTCAATGCAATATAGAGCCTCCACATTGTCTGAAATATTGGTAAATCAAAAACAGTCAGCTAATGTCTATGGAAACCATGAATGAATGGAGAAATGAGCACTTATAGTATAAAGAAAGAAGCTCTGGTAGTGTAGGGGTTATGACTTAGGCTGTTAACCTCAAGGTCAGCAATTCAAATCTACCAGCTGTTCCATGGGGAAAAGATGAGTCTTTCTGCTCCATAAAGATTTACAGTCTCAGAAACCCTATGCAGGGCTGCTATGAGTTGGAACTGACTCCACGGCACATCACAGTGAAAAAAAAAAAAGCCGAAATATGAAATATCAGGTCATGCTACTAAACTGAGTTCTTACTTTACATTGGGGAAATATGAAACCATGGAATTCAGTAGCCCAGGTAGGGACCTTGTCTATTGACTTCTACATAATCATTATCATTGCGACTTACACTCCTGCCTTTTCTCTGAATTTGACTGGTTAAATCTCATAGATGGTCAGTTGGAAAATATTTTACTTTGTGGCCTTCAAGAACCCAAGGACCTTGGCTATTCATCTTGTATTTTCACCTTGACCTAATTTTGTGCTTAGTGGATGCAGAAATGTGATTTGTATTTCTTGAATTGAATGGAAATAAACAATGAAATTGGTTATTACATTAAACATGTGCTAACAGATATTTCTCCCTTCCCCCCTTATCCCTCAGTACAGTGTACTTTGAGAAAAGTCTTACTTACCCCAAATATTTTCAGGTTTGAAGCAAGTATTTTTGAAAAGACATTTCTAGGCACATAGGGTGTGGCTATTAGGCCCGTTTGTTGCAATTTAGAAATAGCGAGCTCTGGAGGAAACACCAGAAGCATGGGACTGTGTGTGGTGCTTGAAGCCATGATGATATAGTTGATATTTGAAAAGGAAAGAAAATTACTTGGTTGGTGTTTCTGTCCTTGTTCAGACCATGTTCTTCTTCTGTGCTAAGGCTGCCTGGAGCACTGGCATTGTTGTGCTTTGTCTTGGAATTATAGAACCATAAAGTCACAGAGTCATGGAATCTCAGGACTGGCCAAGATCCCAAGATGGCTTGAAGATTAAAGGTCCAGGTCTGAAAGGCAGAACCTGATCAGTAGTCCTGATTCAGTCAGAAACTCACTGTTATCTTGGGCAAGCCACACCCTCCCTTTCTTGGTTTCAACTTCCTCATATCTACAATGACTAGGCTGGTGTAGGTGACCCACAGAGACATTTTATTTCCAAAGTAAATGAGTATTTGTGAATATTTATTTCAGCTCTTGATATTCAGACAGATAGAGAACAAAACTTCTCAGACCAAAGAGTTAGTTAGCCATTTCTTCTTTTTTTTAAAAAAATTTTTTTAAAGGTTTTTGTTGTCGATTGAGTGAAAGTTTACAGTATAGATCATCAGTTTTACATCCAATCATACACCTTGTTTCATTACAATGATTATAATCCCCTCCATGTACTAACAGGTAGCAGTATTTCTCTCTATTCACTTTAGCTCTTTTTTTTTTTTTTAAACACTCAGGCATATATAATAATTTATACCACCAAAGGGCACATTCTGCAAGCCTGCCTCTTGGCAGTCATCTCTTTGTCCCTCTCTTCCCATGAATTTAGAGTCCGCAGCTGCTCCCTCTTTCCTTGTCCCCATCTCTGCCTCCATCTCTGGTATCGCTGCTTCTCTGGATAAGGTCTCACATTCTGCTTGTGCTCTTCCTCCTTGATGATCCTAGGATCCTTTGTTTCTGGACTGTAAGATTAACTACTCCCTTGTTTTCAGTACAAAACTTCTACGTTTACAATGTGACAGTTGTAATTAGTCATGATAACAATTACTCACTATTGAATCATAAGAATCTTATCGCCATCTCTTTTAACCAGACTCATCTAGACAAGATGAAAACTATTCAATGGGGACTCTTTCCCCCACCCACTATTAAACTAAACTCCCTCTTGAAACCTTGTAAGCCAGTCAATTTGTGCCATTATCGCCCCCTCATTTTAGGTAGTCAATGAGTTAGCCATTTCTTGAAGTATACATAGAGACAATTCAGTCCATCATTTCATTGTTGTTCTATGTAAATGTATTAACCTTAGCTATGTAATAAGAATCTTGGTATGGCACTGTAGGATAAGCACTATACTGCTAACTACAAAGTTGTCAGTTCAAACCCACCAGCCACTCCTTGGAAACCCTATGCAGGGTTACTGTGAGTCAGAACTGACTCAGTGGCACTTAGCAGCAAGCAACAGCTACTGTACAATTAGTACAAACCACCCCAAAACTCATTATCTTCAAATTACGACCATTTTATTTTTTCACAATTCTGTGAGTCACCGTTTAGTTTCCTAGTGCTTCTATAACAAAAATGCTACAAGTGGGTGACTTTGAAAAATAGAAATTTGTTTTTTCATAGTTTAAAAGGCTAGGGCACAAGGCAATGGCTGTAGGGGAAGGCTCTCTCTCGGGGAAAATTCTTATCAGGATTCCTTGGTAGTGCTCATGTGATATTTATCTCCTTCATTTTGTGGTTGCCTATGTAGTTAATCTGTTCTTTCTATAATTGAAAAGCGATTTGACTTAAGGCACATCTTACACTGATTTGACCTCAATAATATAATGAAGAAGACCCTGTTCTCAAACTGGATTGCATCCACAGGTATAGGAGTTAAGATTCTGACACATTTACTGTGGGATGCAATTCAATTCATAAGTCATACGGCTGGTCCAATGCAACTGTTTTCTGCTAGGTTATGATACATCTGGATCAACTAGTGAGTAACTGGGCTGATGCCTCAGTCAAATATCTGAAAGTTGGCAGATTCTTGTTTCTCCTTGAATTCACAAGTGCTTTTCAAATTCATGATTGAGAAAATGCTAAGGAGCTCTGGTAGCGAAGTGGTTACGAGTTGGACTGCTAATCTCATGGTCAGCAATTCAAAATTACCAGTGGTTCCACGGGAGAAATGAGGCTTTCTACGCCAGTAATGATTTACAGACTCAGAAACTCTATACAGGGTGTCTATGAGTTGGAACCGACTCCACGGCACACAATCACCACCAACAACCAACGGTCTATTGGCCTAACAAGTTGCATGGCCAACCAAGACTCAAAAAAGTTGGGAAAGAAATTCCATATTTTCCTGGGAGAAGCTGTTTTGGCACATAGCAAGGACATGGATAAAAGGAGGGGATTTTGTGTCCATATTTGCATTCTACCTTGTCATCCTTGTCATCCCATTCTGTTCAGATTTTCCAAAGTTGAACATATTTAGGAAAACTTGACATCTAGCCACTATCCAGTTAAAACATTTTAAAGCACCACCTCCCTTTATGGACATAGATTCCAAAGCCCATCCTTCCCCTTTCAAGACTCATGCCCCAACTCTAGAGAGTATAGCAACAACAACAACAAAAACTCATTGCTGTCAAGTTGATTGTTTCTCATGGTAACCTCAAGTGTTGCAGAGTAAAACTGCCCCATAGGTTTTCCTTGACTGTAATCACACTGCCAGGGTTTTCTTCTGCAGCACTCTTGGTTAGATTAACTTTTAGCTTAATTGTTGCTGTTAAGTGCCTTCGAGTTGATGCTGACTTACAGTGACTCTGTCTATGGTTTCCGAGGAGGAACTGGTGGGTTGGAACTGCTGATCCTGTGGTTGGCAGTCCAGTGCTTATCATATGATTCTACACTAGGATTCCAGCATAAATTGTTTGTACTATCTAGGGGCTTAAGAGAGTAAAACAGCAGCCATCAACTGATGTGACCATATGTCACCTACTTACTGTGTGCCGTGGAGTCACTTCCAACTCCTAGTGATCCTGTATAGGATTTCAGAGGCAGGAGTCCTGGTGTGGTGCTGTGGGCTAAAGCACTGGACTGCAAGGTAAGTTTAAACTACAAGGTTGGTGGTTCAAGCTCCCTGGAAACCAAGATAGGCAGGGTGTGACTTGCCCAAGGTTTCTGACTGAACCAGGACTACTGATCAGGTTCTGCCTTTCAGAAGGCACTTAACAACAACAACAAAATCTTCATAGTAGCAGAAACCCTCATATTTGTGGATAGCAATCTCACTTTACCAGTGCTCCTGTCATCTAGCTTGTTATTGTTAAGTGTTGTTGAGCCAGTTTCAACCCTAGCAACCAGGTACAGAGTTTCCAAGGAGTGACTGATGCATTTCTGTGGTTCAAACTGACCTTGTGGTCCAGTGCTTATCCTATAGCACCACACCAGGACTCCAATGTAGATAATGCTATTGTTGTTAAGTGTTGTTGAGTCAGTTTTGATTCATATTGACCCTGTATGGGGTTTCCAAGGAGCAGCTGGAGAGTGAGATCAAACTGACCTTGAGGTCCAGTGCTTATCCTAAAGAGCCACATCAAGACTCTACTGCAGATAACAGAAGGAACTATAATGCTAGGACATCAAAAAACAGTTCAGATATCTAAAGCAAGACAAGGAAGTGTTGAAAGTTGGTTTACTTTTTTGACATTCAGGAATACATTTAAAAATACTTAGACCATAGGTAAAATCTTCACATTTACCTTAAAGGTCAAGATAATGCAAATAAACAGAAGAATAATGAGGTAGGAGTCATTGACATGTTATCATCTCTGTAAGAAAAATTTGGAGCAGTTGTTCTATGTTCTCCTGAATGGGGTTTGAATAAACAAGTATCATGACAACAACCAAGGTGCTCAGGGAAAGAAATGATAACTGGTAACAGAAGAATGTGATGGTCCAGGCAACGTGTAGCTTGTAGGCACCATGGTGTGTAGCCATTACACTCTAGGGGTCTCACATTCTAGTTTTTTTCTTGCTCTTTGAATGGTAAGTAGCAATGGTGCTATATCTTATCCCATGAATGATAATAAAATCCAGTGTCCTTTCAAATACCTGCAGGAATTTCTTGGTGGGAGCAAGTGGTATGAGGAATGTGAAACAGCTAGGGTTTATATTTTGCCTAGTGGTCTTGTGCTGTGATTACCTGCTTCTGCTCTATGTTTGATGAAACGTTCCTTATTGAAATGGCCTGCTGGTAATCCCCCTGACTCCTCACTCTGCTACAGTAGCAGTAATAAACACTGCATATGTAACATATTTTAAAAAAGAGCAAACATTTCCACAGTACGTACAAAAGCAGGAAGTAGAAATTCTCTGATTCCTAATTTTTGTCTTATTCATAGGTATTAGATTCTCTCTTTATTACTATCCAGACTTCTATTCATAATTAAACAAAGATACCTTGTCTCGTGTAGTCTGATGGTCTTTTTATCCACTTATTCCCTTTTCCAACCCCCATGAAATAAGGGACACAAATGATATAATTCAAGATAAAGAGCAAGAGACTGTCCTCTCTGTCATGATATATAAAGGTAGTTTTACATTAGTCTTTCTTTCAGAATTTTAGAGATTTCCTGTCATTGTATTCGGCCTTGCAATGTCTTTGGTCAACAGTTTTTAAAAGCTGTTGCTGTAATGATTGTCTTTTTCTCTAGCTGCTGTTAGGCTTTTCTTTTTGTCTTTGCTTCTCAGTTGTTTGACTTTAATGCACCTACATGTGGTGTATTCTTTTCATTTACTGTGTGGTGTTCTCCGAGGTTGCTGGATTTGAAGAAATGGGAAACAGATTAGTAGTTTCCAAGGTAAAGAGATGGGATGAGTACAAACAAGTAGTATGAGGGAGTCCTTTTGTGGTGATGAATAGTTGTATATATTGACTGTGATGATGGTTACAGAAAACTACACAGGATAAAACTGTATAGGTTAACACACAAACACATGAATTCAGATTAAAAATGACAACATTTAAATAATACAGTCTAGAATTTAGAGATCATCTGAAGAACAGATTTTATACATTAAATACT